CACACACACACACACACACTAAAGCATGATGGGTTAAATTAAAACGTGTCGGCGCTTCGCCCGTTTCACGAACACTGAAACAAAAGTTCAAACCATGAAATTAAAATTTCTGACGACATCCGTCCGGAGACTCAGGCGGCTGTTTTTTTCCCTCCTTTCTTTTTCAGTTTGACGCTTCGGCAGCCAATCACAGACCGCCCGAGTTAAAAACACAAAAACGGCAGCAGAAGAAACCTGAGGAAGCCGTTTCCAGAAGTGGAGTCTCATGTTTCACCTTAAAACGATGAGAAAATAAAACGTTCGCCTCGTCCGAGACAACGCAGAGTCAGAAGTACGGCACGCTCAGGTGAAGCCCGATTGGTCCCCCCGCGACCTTTCGCCTCCCTCGGAGCACGCGGAGGAGCTGCAGCGCCCCCGCCTCACCCTCCTGCCCCGGGCGGTGGATCATAGCGACGTCTCGGCGTTCACGACTCTTTGCCCGTCCTCGTTCTCCACGTTTATCCGGACGCTCGGCAGCTTGTCGTGGCTGAAAGAGAACAGAAACTTTACTGGCACCAGTCAGACACGTCTTACAGACACGTTAAATTACTTCCACTTCCTGTAGTTTGGGGCTGTTCTGAGATCTGATTGTGCTCACAGCACAGGTGTGGCAGCAGCAGGTGGAGTGCCGTCTCTGAGGTTTGGTTTGTGGCTCTGGGAGGAAGCTCGTCTCCGCTGTTCTGACCGAGCTGTCAGCGACTCGTTTTCATGATGTGTTTCAAGTTTATAATGAAAACTAAAAATAATCTGACATAAAGACCCTGAACGTGAAAATTAACAAAAAGTGGAAAACAGAAATCTTTGTCTACGTGGAAATCAAAATCATCTTCATGGAAACAGAGAGCAAGGACATGAATAAGCCGTGTTTATCGTGTCTAAAACATCCAGCATGAAAACATCACAATTGCATTTTTTTTCTTACTCCACATCGTCCAGCCCTCCACAGCACAGACACGCCTGCCAGCGCTCACTTTTAATGGTTACAGGACTGCTGTTTAAGTCTGACGTCATCCGTCGTGTCCGGGTCCAGAGTCAAACGAACACAGAGCTAAAAACTGTCTAAATTCTTTCATCTTTACTAAAATGATCAGCGTTGATGCTTTACCAGGTGTAACAATTACGTTTAACATCCATGAAAACAGGATTTATTAGATTTAAAGGAGTTACAAGTTAGCAGGAAGTTAGCTCGCTAGCTTCCACCTAAACATGATATAGCATGTTCTGACTGAGAGATTTATGAAGCATTCAAACGTACAGCTCTGTTATCACTTCCAACATAAATGAAGACAGAAAACTAAACAGCAGTGACGTTTGTTGGGTTACTGAAGTTGGGCTAGCTGGTATATAATGATGTGCTACGTGACCGCTAGCGACACAGCTATGTTAGCATAAACACAGTGAAGCTGGAGGACGAACACTAACACTTTTCCACTTATAAAAGTTAACGTGAAGGTTCCTGATGGTCAGGAACAAATGTAATCGCATGGCAGGATGCTGTAAACGGACCAAACTTCAGTCAGGAGAACAACTGAGATAATCCATCCACAATACCAGGTTAGTCATTCATATACTGCTGCTGGGCTGGAGTTACATCGTGAGGTTTAAACACTGAGCTTTAAAACGATTAGCGGTAATGAACCGAGAGAGGCCGACACTGATCACTGTTTTTAGGGGCTTGTTGAGATTAAATACATACAAAACATTCGAACATGTTAAAAACACAACAGCCTTATTAAACGCAGAAGCAGGGTTCATACGTCATCACTTAAAGACATAAACACAGTGCAGAGAGAGCCAATCACAGAGCATCGCAGGTGATGTCGCTGGTGGTGAGGCAGGCGTACCTGAAGGTGCGCCTCAGAGCTTTGCTGCTGTCGGAGTTTTTGGAAACAGACTTCCAGATGCCGCTTTTGGCCATTTCATCAGAGATGTTGACCTCTGACGGGTCGCTGCTGAGTCAAACACACACACGTTAGCCTCTGCTGCAGAGTGCGCGCAGCCGTCAGCGTGCCTGAGTTCAGACCCACCGCTTTTTCAGGTTTTTGATGGGGAAATTGAGGACTCCTCCTCTGTCGTACGGCAGCTCCTCCTCCACCTCCTCCAGCATCCGCCGAGCGTCCTGGACACACACACACACACACACGGTTGAGCCAATGAGGACACAGAAGCAGGGTCACGTGCACACACCAGCGCCCTTCACCTCCTTCTCCTTCTTCTTGTCGTCCTCCTTCTTCTTCTTGCTCTCAGGGATCAGGTCGTCCAGCCAGCTCAGCTCTCTCTTGGTGAAGCAGAAATCCAGAAGCTTCCGGATGAAAACCAGAGCGAGAACCTGCAGAACGCAGCAGGAGGTGAGTCCCCGCGTTACCAAGGAAACAAGGAGATGCAGCGTCTCTCAGTGCGTCTCACCATCATGGGGAAAATGACGGCGGCGGGCGAGGCTTTGATGGCCCACAGCGCGATGAGGCAGGACAGCTGCACCACGGTGAAGACGTGCACCTTCCACAGCGGCACGTAGCGCAGGTAGATCAGGTCGGGCTGGTGTTTGGCCGGCATGCCGAACAGTTTGATGCGGTCAAAGAGCTGTGGGACAGACAGACGCACGAGAGGTCAGACGAGCTTTAACGCCGCCATCGGCCGGACAGACGCTCGGACGCAGAGACGTACCTGGATGCCTTTGAGCGAGGACACGCCCATGTAGAGGAACACGCCGTACAGGACGGGCATCGGGATGAACTGTAAAAGCAAAGAAGCGATCTGTGAAGGGAGCGAGGGAGCGAGGCGTGAACGCAGCACGCACCGTCTGACGACTCACCTTCAGGACGGAGGTCATGAACACGGAGCAGCCCATCAGGAAGAAGATCATGAAGCCGGTCACGCGCTGCTCTCTGATGCCGAGGAACTTGGGCTGCTCGCCAGGCGCCGCGCACTCCGACTCCAGCTTCAGGCTGTTGACGTGGGAGATTGAGAGCACCGTCGCCGCCACGAACCACGGCAGGCCCATGATGGAGCACACGCCCAGCATCACCGCCACCACCAGCAGGTCCAGATGATAGCCACACCCTTTCTGCAGCCCGCACACACACAAACACACACAGTGAGGTAAAGGTCGTCACCCCGCGGGGACGACGGCGCGCGGCTTCACGTCAGTTCTGACCTTCAGCTTGTTTTCCTTCCTGTTGATGATGACGGCGGTGATCTGCTGGTCCATGAAGATGAGGATGGTGCAGAGCAGCGCGGGGACGGCGGCGGCCAGCAGCGTCCACCACGGGTTCGGGCCCAGCGGGGAAATCAGCCACCCCCGATTTTCAGACGTGGGCTGAAAGCAGCGCGAGACCGTTTCTACGGTAACCTCTGAGTGAGCATTGTGTCAGCAGGTGTGAGCCGACGGCGCCCACACGCTTGATGATTTTACACTTTTTGTAACATTAAATATGTTACATGTTACCACTTAATGTTTTCATAGTTAAACAGTTCAAAAGATCCGAACTGTGAAAGATGAAGAACGAATCCAAAGTTGAGACCTAAATGAGAACCGAACCCAGTGAACGACCTCTGACCTGTTATCACAGCGAGCTGCCGAGGGCCCTCGCTCAGTCTAAACCTCCCCCCCAACACCCATCACAGAAGCTGGATTACATTATTACTGGAATAAAGGGGAAATGGCGCCCCCGCAGGCCGTTTGGACCTGCGCATGCTGAGAGGCGAGCGTTACCTTGAAGCGGTCGGGCACGTTGAGTTTGGGTGAAGGAACTCCCACCAGATAATCCACCAGCACCATGATCATGATGGTGAGGAAGACGGCGAAGTCGCTGATGGTCGATCGAACCTGCGGGCGGGAAACAGCATCGATATTTTCGAACGGTAAAACGCGACGTCTCAGACCTCCAGCTCGGCACAAATATTAAACCGAGTGGTGATGTTTTCCTGTGGATCCAATAAATCCTTTATCTTCATCACACGTGAGAAACATTAAAGAGGACCGAGTCTGCGAGCACTCCATCAACTCCTCTCTCAGGGTGTCACTGACCTTGGTGGGGAAGTAGCTCTTAGTCTTGAACTGCTTGAGGAAGGAGGAGAGGAAGAAGGTGGTGAAGAAGAGGATGATGGACCAGAAGAGGACGTCGGGGACGTAGGGACCGCTGTGGCTGCACGCCGGGCCGACCAGCTCCCCCATGAGTGCCTTGCACGTCTGTGGGGAGAGGGAAGCGTCAGCCGCAGTTCCTCTGATGACCAGCAGAGGCTGCTGCTCGTTTGTTCTGACTGAAAGGCGCCGCTGACGGCAGCGTCAGACAGCAAACAAAGTTTATTTCTTACCTTCGAGCTCAGCTGATCCCAGGTGATGTTTTCTGGGGTCACGTTCTTTTTGCTCCACACACCCAGGACTTCGGCCGAGGCGTTGGCGGGTGGAGCACACTGACATCTGAAACAGAGCAGCAGCGCTCACGTCAACTCGGAGCTAAATGACCACTTCACCCTCTTAGCTCCAACCGTGGGAGCACCGGCCCGGGATTCTGGCCCCGAGCAGATTCCAGCTGAAACGACCACGGTGACGTCGGACAGTCGCCTCACCTGTAGAAGGTCAGGTTGTCCAGCTGGTTGTGCATGTTGATGGGGTAGAGCTCCCCGAGGCGGACCAGCTTCTCCAGCGCCTCGTAGATGAAGATGATGCAGATGAGCGCGGCGAAGGCCTCCTCTGTGAAGCGGGTGATGTAGCAGACCAGAGAGCTGGCGTCCGTGGCGACCAGCAGCAGGCACAGGAAGGCGGTCCAGAGTCCGATGCTGGTCCTCAGGTGCAGGTAGGACAGATGGTACTGACTGAGGACGGGAAGGAAAGGAGGTCAAAGGTCAGCCGAGGGCACTTCTGTAGGCTCGCTCTCTCTAACCCAGCAGACATCCCTGCAATAACTGATGTCACACCTCGTGAGCGCCGCTTTGTTTGAAGCTCTCCTGACCTCTACGTGACCCCGACCAACGCCCTATAGCATCGACACGTGATCCCAAACCCTACAGCGGCGCCGCGACACGTCACTTCCTCCTGAAGCCATAGAGACTTCTAAAGACGGCAGAGACGTCGTTGCTTTGTTTATCCTCCGGATCAGCTTTTTCAATCTCGCCACGAAGCAGGAAGGTTTCAGACTGAAACACTGAGGTGAAGCTCGATTAACAGACGGTTTGTGACTGCCGCAGTTTAAACGCTTCCTGTCCTGGCTCACCTTTAAACAGCTTCTCTGCTCTCCGTGACAAACATGGATGATGTAATCCAGATGAAAATGGAGCAGGTTAAAAAAAACGAGGCTTTTATGCAACTGTTACAAAACATCTTTGTGCATCACAAAAAGCTTTTTTTAATCCACCAAAAAATTATACAACAACGTGAAAGCTGAGAGCACCGGAGCACAACGTTCCCACAGCTGCTCCAAAAATCCCTCAGATCACGTTAATCTGTGACGCTGAGATTAAGCGAGTGACCCGCTGCCAGCTCGCAGCTCCGTGCACAGCACTGGATGCGCCTGCAGGGGGAGCTGCAGCGTTGCAAACACAGAGGAGACGAACCCAAAGGCACAAGGACGGAAATACAACACGAAAAACCTTAAAAACAAACACAAACGCAATTTTTCTCTCTGCTCAGCAGCCCGCTGTGATGTCATCACAACCTGAACAGCCAATGGGAGCAAAGCTTTCATGCAAACCTGTCTGGCCGCTCTTGGGTCACGACTCACCTGCAGAACTTGAAGAGGATCTTCTCAAAGACCAGAACCGGGCCCGTGCTGCCCAGGATGGTGAGAGGCTGCCCGGCGAACAGAGAGTAGGCCACGCCCGTCAGAGACGCGCCAAACAGCGACTCAATGGCACTCTATCAGAGAGAGAGAGAGAGGGGAGTAACACCCGGATGCACCAATCAGGGCCCAGGATGAGCTCACACAGGGGTTCTTACTATGCTCCCTTTGGTGGCCTCCCCGAGCAGACCTCCGAAGGTGATGACGGGCGACATGCAGGCGCAGTACAGGAAGAGGATGGAGGCCAGGCACTGCAGGCTCACGGCGTCTCTGATGTCGCTCCAGTAGAACGGCGCCTTCCTCCGAACGTCGTTCACCAAACCGCCAAAAATCCTGTGGGACACACGAGGGATTCCCCGTCATTCCCAACACACAGCGAGCCAGCGGAATAATCCAACGTTCAACACATTTCCTGTTTTAATTTGAAAATCTCCTCACAGTATTAATTAATATTGCTGAGCTTCACTCACCTCCCCGTCCTCTGCAGCTCTGGTCCCGCGTGATGCTCCGCCTCCTTGCCCATCTCAGAGCTGTGGGCGGAGCCATTGGGGAAGGACGCTATCTTTCTCTTCTCCTGCGGAGACAGACGGGGGCGGGGACGTCACTTCTGAGAGATCAGAGCTGGCGTGGCGGGTTCGGTTTTGGATCTTTTACCTGAGACGGGACGCTCTTCGGGGGATCGATGCGGATGCTGGGGTCCCATTCTCCCGGCGGCAGCACGGTGACCTGATCCAGGAACTCGTCGATCCCCGACAGCAGGTCGTTGCGGTCCCTCGCCTTGTACGCCACGTCGTGGAAAACCTGCAGCAGAGCCGCCACACGTCAACAACTTTTTGTCTGCGCTTCAAACGAGATTACGCCTCCTGAAGCTTTTTCACGAGCACGCCGTCACACTGACACGTCTGTGTCTGCAGAGGCGGGAACAACGTCAGCAGCAACCACAGACACACAACAGACACACAACAGGTAAACACAGCCGGCTGAAACGCAGCGCGGTGAGCCTTCATCGTCCCACACGGCCTCTAAACACCATCATCAGCTGCAGACCTGCAGCTCTCCGTCACGCTGCACGCTCAGTGCAAACAAGCGTGTGATGATCAGCGTGCTCCAGCTGACCTCGCTGCTTCTACAGACACGCTCCGTCACCGAGCCGTTCACCTTTAAACTATCAGGACGCGAGGAGGCGACCAAACCGGGTGACCATGGAGACTTCCTGCCTGAGTCTGCTGCCAGTCTGGGCGTAGTTTAATCCCAAACACACACACAGGCTCACTCTGGGCTTCAGACGCCATCCTTATATCTATTCCTGTAACGTCTGTGTGTGAAAGCGTCGCTCACCTCGTCTGTCATCAGTGTGGCGATGGAGCGCCCGATCTCGTGGTACTGCGGACCTTTTCCAAACGGACCGAGCAGCAGGAAGAGAAACCTGCAGGGACAGGAAGTCTGTCAGCAGAGGAAACGCACGGAGCGGCGTGCCGAGGGCGGCTCAGTCGCGGCTTACCTGGTGGGCACCGGGACTTCGGTGAGGCCGGTCAGCAGCACGGCGGGGCAGAGCCGGACGAAGGCGATGATGGGCCGCTCCAGGAAGTCCACTTCACCCACCAGGACGTTGGAGGCCTCGGCTCCGTGAGGAATCTTCTTCATGAAGTTCATGTCCACCTGACTCACACACACACACACACACACACACACACACACACACACACACAC